AGTAGGAGGCCGGCGACGGGCCGAGTAGGAGGCCGGCGGCGGGGCCGAGTAGGAGCCGGCGGCGGGGCCGTGTAGGAGGCCGGCGGCGGGCCGAGTAGGAGGCCGGCGGCGGGCCGAGTAGGAGCCGGGGCCGGGCCGTGTAGGAGGCCGGCGGCGGGCCGTGTAGGAGGCCGGCGGCGGAGCCGAGTAGGAGCCGGGGCCGGGCCGTGTAGGAGGCCGGCGGCGGGCCGTGTAGGAGGCCGGCGGCGGAGCCGAGTAGGAGCCGGCGGCGGGGCCGTGTAGGAGGCCGGCGGCGGGCCGAGTAGGAGGCCGGCGGCGGGCCGTGTAGGAGGCCGGTGGCGGGCCGAGTAGGAGGCCGGCGGCGGGCCGTGTAGGAGGCCGGCGGCGGGGCCGAGAAGGAGGCCGGCGCGGGGCCGCGTAAGGGGCCGAGTAGGAGCCGGCGGCCCAGGGCCGCGTAAGGGGCCGGCTCGGAGCCGCGTAAGAGGCCGGCGCAGGGCCGCGTAGGAGCCGGCGGCGCAGGGCCGCGTAAGGGGCCAGCGCGGGGCCGCGTAAGGGGCAGGCGGCGGGGCCGCAGGGGAGAGGGCGACCCGAAGGGTCGCTAAAACAAAAAAGGGCGCGCCTCGGGGCGCGCTTCGGTGGGCCCAAAAAAAAAAATTCGGTCCTGGAGGGACCTAGCTCTATACCATGTGAAACTATGAGCAGAGGAATGAATTGACTAAGTCAGAGTTGGGTACAAATACAACCCTAGCAAACTGTACCCCATATGTGCTACCCCACTATGGCCTACAAACATGCATCAGCTATAATAATCTGACAGTAACACCCAAAGCTAAACTCCCTAAGCTCGAAGTTGCAGCTGCATGCCCCACGCCCTGTTGATGCCCGTCCGTCTGAGCCCTTCTTACAGCAGTTTGAGTGAGTTGGCGCCACCACTCCAAGGCCGGGCCCCTCAGCAGTGTAACAACGTACTCGATCCGCTGCTGCGCGTCCGCCTCTTGCACCCCGCTCGCGGCGAAGTAGTTGTTCAGCATGAAGAGCCACGTCCGCACGTTCGCGTCGCGTTGACTTGGGTCGAACGACTCGGGTTTCTGCGGCTTGAGTGCGCTTCGACGTTCCGGCAGCGCTTCCGCGCCAGTCGACGTGTTGGGCGCAAGAGTTGGTGTGGCATGACCATGGGGGTTAGAAGCCAATTCACGAAACTGTTGCATTTCAGCTCGTACCTGTCGATTTTCCAGCGTCAACTCTTGAAGTTGGCGCATGAGTTCGGCAAGCGTGTTGCCCATGTCGTGGGGGACTGCGTGCATGGTTTCGTCCATGTTCGCTCAACGACTCCAAGTCTGCAAGTCGGCACCGCGGGACGATGACGTCGTAGTCTCGTCGTCGACGGTCGCTCGTTGGAAGTCGCTCCCCGCGAAGGCTGTGATACCAAGTGTTAGGCCCGACGGCCTAAGTCCGCTAAAGAATTAGCGGGGTCGACTAAGTCGAGGATGAAACGCGGCGGAAGACTTTGGCGAAAGAACTATTGGCGAAATAGGCGAAGAAGTTACTGAGTAATTGAAGAAGAGTTGAATGAGAATTGATTGATAATGGCAAGTACAAGCAAGGTTTATATAGCATGCAAGAAACAAGGTTGGAAAGTGGAATGTGGGACCAAGAATTGGAGTGCAAGAAAAGTAGAGTGCCACGTGGCACTAGAGAATCTGAGAAGATAAGGATAATGGTGACTAGGAATGTACTGTTCGGAATGAACAGTAAACACCCCTCTAACAGGATGTGTAGCTGTAGCTGTACAGTATCTGTACGCGCTGGAGAGTGCCGAGCCTCCACATGGAATCTTCGGGCCTTCCAGACGTCCACCTTCGTGTCATCCGCGCTGGATCATAGGTCCGACACGACCACTCTGAGAACCTGACCACCGAGAGTGACTTCCAACGTGGTCGGTGGTCTTGTAGCTGAATGGCTTCGAGTGGCTCATCTTCCAAGGCACCTTCAACCTCGTTATTGTTAGCGCTTCATCGTACATTCCTGTCGTACGCACCAAATATGAAACATTGGCGGTGTTCGCCAGCACATTTCTAAGCAAAAACGAGGGGATGACGACGGGATCAGGAAGGAAAGTCTCGCCTTCCTGATCCCGTCAGTTAGGGTTCGCTAACCTCCGTCAGCCTGGTCAGCCCGTAAAAATGCTGCCGAGCCTCTTATGCCGTCAGAACCTCTTAGAAAAGTGAGGGCGTGGCGAACGCCTCCAATTTTCACCCATTTCGAAATGCTTGACCGCATATGGAAACGGGGTCGCAGTTTCCTCCCCTGGCAAAAACCTTACCCCTGCGATGCCATCGCCATTCACCTATCCACGGTGAATGGCGATGGCATGGCTGTGGCATTGCACGGCAGACGGGAACAACGGCAGGTGGGGCTGGGGATTCCATATGCGGTTGCGAATTTTCCCATTTTGGGAATCGAAGTTTCGCGGACCGCATTACGCCCAGACCTCTTGGGCGGGTTCCGCCCCCGTTTTCAGATGCGGTCACCATACCAGCCGCCACAATGCCATCTATTTTAAAATGTGCTGGCGAACACCGCCATTGATGGTGCTACTTCCCCGAATCATGACAAATTTAAAGTGCTACGCAAAACCTATAATGAAATGGTGAAAGTCTAACTAGTTTAGGCGTGAGAGTGCCCTGAATCATCCAAGATTGCTTCCCGGATGATTCAGACACTCCTGGAACCAGCACCATCCTATCCATCTGCAATGCTAAACACAAGTACCATGCCCTCAATGCATGTCACATGTCAAGAATGTTACTGGTCGTGCTATCACTGTGTTGGTCAACATCACCTGTTAGCGTTTCCTATTCAAAAATATCAGGTAGCGGAGCTCAGCAGAACCATCCGACGCGGAGCGCGAATAGGGGATCCAATTCGAGGACCATTTGTGCGTCGAGGAAGATGCCACGTCGCAACAGGGAACCCGCTGCCTGCCGTGCTGCAAGCGGCGAGATGAACATTTCCAGAGGCACGCGCAGTGGGGGAGAGGCAGCTGCTTCGTTGACGGAGCTCAAACATCGGGTCGCTTTTCCGAGGGCTATGTGCCGTTCGCTGATTGGTTCCCACGTCCAACAGCGACCTGCGCGGAACGGCTGGCGTGTCCTTAACGCAAGCGCCGGTTTGCTCTCTTTCCTCCTCGCCTGCCCTCGTTGCGGCGAGAGCTACGCGGCATGCGGAAGGGGGCGTTGAAGGCGGAACGAACGCGGATATCGGAAGCGCAGGAGGCGGGAGGAGGAACGAGTCGAGCGAGTCTAGAGCTGCGTCGCTCGGCGTCGCACAGCGGCTGAACGAATATCGTCGGACTTGACGCGGTTGCTGCAATTCGAATGTCGGCGCATGGTGCGGGGAAGGGGTGGAGAACGTCGGGATGGCGGGCGCCGGGAGTTCGAGTGCGGCGGGGAGGTCAATGGTGGATGGCGCGGGGAGGGAGTTATGGCGGATAACGCGGAGAGTTGGCACGCGCTTGGCGCTAGCGATTGCGGTGCTCTCTTGCGCGCGCTTGGCATGGCGCATAGGAGAAGACACTGCGCGCCGAGCGCGGGAAGAGCAAGGTGAACCAGGGAGGTCGCGAGACCGCGATCGCTTCTGCGCGCCGGCTTCTTTCGGCGATGGTGTTGCGGGGGAGGGAGGAGCGGAGAACATTGGGTCCGCCCACTCCCGGAGAGACGGCGTGGAGTCCAATCGGCGCTCCATCTGGATTATAACTCGAGAAATTGTGAAATGGAGATGGAAATTAGAGATGGAACTTGGAGTTGAAATTAGCGCCTATGGCAATGAGGCTGAGAAAGATCAGGAGGTGTGGTAAGCGCGAGAGAAAAACGGTCCTGAGCTGACTGAGGGAGGGAGCTTGTGTATGCGATGAGCAAGAAACCACTGCGATATCTGAATGAAATGCTGCTTGGATGAGTTCAGTCGCACTATGGTCGTCCTTATGAGCTCTCCATCGCTTGAAGTGCAAGCGAGAGGGGAAGCGAGGGATGCGAGATGAAGCGATGAATCTTGTCGTCATGCGAGCAACCGAATTGTGCGCGGGAAGTGGTTCGACTCCCCACCGACTCTACTTCACACCTTCCTACGACGTTCGACGACGTCGAACGGCAGTTGATGCGACGTCGCCTGGCAACTGTTTACAGAAGTTGGGACGGAGGAGGTGGCGCCCCGTCGCTCGCACCAATCCCTGCGAGTCCACGTTTCCGCGTGCGGCTTCGAGGCAGACTTCCGGGAAACAATTCTTCTCGTGGGTGAGGTGGATTGCTGTGCGACCAGGGCGACGGTATGGCTTCCTGACGCAGCAGCCATCCAGCCCAGCAAAAGTATAGCGACGTCAGTTGGTGAACAGCACATGTCGTCGCAGGCAGACTGCCAGTCGCAGTCCCGAAGCAGACAGAACAGTAGCAGCGAGAGGCATGTGCCGCATTTTCTTTTGAGCAATGAGCATCTTCCTGCGACTGCCGAGTCCAGCAACCGCCCTCGTAGATAGTACAGTTGTTGAATCTAATTGGTTACCCTCATGCGAGCCAGCTCAAGTCCATGTGCGAAATTCATTCTGTTTTCTGTCAGGCATGCCCTGCAAAAATAGTTTTGGCAAAGTTCATCCACCAATCTCAAGCAGATGAGAAAGGGATAGGGGTCAGCGTGGAGGTTGATGAATGGATTGTGTGTGAGTAACAGTCCGATAACAAACAAAGCGGACCGCATGGACCAACAAAAGTCAGGCAGGATGTAAACCGACTTTGAAGAAACTGCCGCCAAAACAGCCCAAGTCAAATAACGGTGTCGCGCGACCCGCTTGTAGTGTACAGTACTCATATCATCAACCCCTTTGCATGAACCACTACGATACGTTTGTCAAGTTTGGAGTGCTTTTAGTAAGTCTAATTTATCCAGCACTTGTCACGTTTTAAACAAAAATGCTAACAATGATCTGGATGCTAAATGCTACTGACGAATCACTCGTATTGGGATGGTGAGATGACATCATCAATCTTGAGAATCATCTTCACAACCTGTGTAGCCAGCAACAGCTGTTGCTTCTTGCCAATCAACGTCTCAAATACCTTCTGCTTGCGCATGTCATTTGTCCCTGCATCCATGCAATCCACTCCCAGGTATGGACAGTTCTCCTGAGAGCCATGGGAGAGCGGGGACACAGAAAATGTTTCAATAAATTGCCACTGTATCAACACCATTTCATCAATCGCCTAGCCACTGTTCTCCGCCGGATGCCAGACTCTTTCAGGCCAAAGCTACTGCCTGCTACATTGATATAGTGAACATTAGTCCACTAGTCACTGTTGACTTAATCAATATGCAGAGGGTAGAGGGGTGTGAGAGAGGACCCATTTGTCTCACCTTGACCTGTTGTGCCTTGATGCTGGACACCGTGTCGATGGGTGGCAGGCCGCTGTTCTCCGCCAGAGCCATCGGCACCGCCTCTAGTGCCTCTGCAAAAGCCCTCATGGCGTACTGGCGGGTGGAGGGACAGGAGATGGGTGATAGAGCCACAAGGGGACAGAAAGGCAAGAAATGGGCACGGGAGAAGGGAACAGGGCTACCATGGGCACCGCCTCTAGTGTCTCTGCAAACGACCTTATAGCATACTGGAGGAGGGAAGGGGTTGGAATACAGGGGTTAGGGAGCATGGGGAAACAAGGGGAGAACTAGGCAATCAGCAGGGAAAAAGAGGAGGAAATAACTGCCATTGACACCGCTTCCAGCACTCACCTGCTCCACCCCCGGGAACCTTGTCGGCTGCTGCCTCGACCACCAGCGAGCATGTGAGCTCGGCCGAAACCCCCCCCATACAGGATGAAGTTGTCTTGGATGAGGTTCAGATGGGACTAGACTCACACTCACACATGCCAGGTGCGCCTCACCTGCTCCACCCCGGGAACCTTGTCGGCTGCTGCTTCGACCGCAAGTGAGCATGTGAGCTCCGCGGAGCCTCCCCCGTACACGATGTGGTTGTCTCGAATGAGATTGCGCGCCACACACAGGGCGTCGTGCAGGCTGCGCTTGGTCTCCTCCACCATCATCTTGCTGCCTGCCATGTGGAGAGGGAAGAGGTGGAAAGGGATGGAGAACGGTCAGCAAGGGTTGATAGGAGCCACACACACACAGGGCGTCGTGCAGGCTGCGCTTGGTCTCCTCCACCATCATCTTGCTGCCTGCCATGTGGAGAGGGAAGAGGTGGAAAGGGATGGAGAACGGTCAGCAAGGAATGATAGGAGCCACACACACACAGGGCGTCGTGCAGGCTGCGCTTGGTCTCCTCCACCATCATCTTGCTGCCTGCCATGTGGAGAGGGAAGAGGTGGAAAGGGATGGAGAACGGTCAGCAAGGGTTGATAGGAGCCACACACACACAGGGCGTCGTGCAGGCTGCGCTTGGTCTCCTCCACCATCATCTTGCTGCCTGCCATGTGGAGAGGGAAGAGGTGGAAAGGGATGGAGAACGGTCAGCAAGGGTTGATAGGAGCCACACACACACAGGGCGTCGTGCAGGCTGCGCTTGGTCTCCTCCACCATCATCTTGCTGCCTGCCATGTGGAGAGGGAAGAGGTGGAAAGGGATGGAGAACGGTCAGCAAGGGTTGATAGGAGCCACACACACACAGGGCGTCGTGCAGGCTGCGCTTGGTCTCCTCCACCATCATCTTGCTGCCTGCCATGTGGAGAGGGAAGAGGTGGAAAGGGATGGAGAACGGTCAGCAAGGGTTGATAGGAGCCACACACACACAGGGCGTCGTGCAGGCTGCGCTTGGTCTCCTCCACCATCATCTTGCTGCCTGCCATGTGGAGAGGGAAGAGGTGGAAAGGGATGGAGAACGGTCAGCAAGGGTTGATAGGAGCCACACACACACAGGGCGTCGTGCAGGCTGCGCTTGGTCTCCTCCACCATCATCTTGCTGCCTGCCATGTGGAGAGGGAAGAGGTGGAAAGGGATGGAGAACGGTCCGCAAGGGTTGATAGGAGCCACACACACACAGGGCATCGTGCAGGCTGCGCTTGGTCTCCTCCACCATCATCTTGCTGCCTGCCATGTGGAGAGGGAAGAGGTGGAAAGGGATGGAGAACGGTCAGCAAGGGTTGATAGGAGCCACACACACAGGGCGTCGTGCAGGCTGCGCTTGGTCTCCTCCACCATCATCTTGCTGCCTGCCATGAGGAGAGGGAAGAGGTGGAAAGGGATGGAGAACGGTCAGCAAGGGTTGATAGGAGCCACACACACACAGGGCATCATGCAGGCTGCGCTTGGTCTCCTCCACCATCATCTTGCTGCCTGCCATGTGGAGAGGGAAGAGGTGGAAAGGGATGGAGAACGGTCAGCAAGGGTTGATAGGAGCCACACACACACAGGGCGTCGTGCAGGCTGCGCTTGGTCTCCTCCACCATCATCTTGCTGCCTGCCATGTGTGTAAGGTGGGGAGCATTCGAAACTATTTTGTGAGGAAGGAGGGTGTCAGGGGTACCGAAAAGATGGCAAAGGGATGGGGGGAAAAGAAAAAGCAAGGCATGAAGAGGGTGGGGGAAAGGGCAACGAGTCTTGCTGCTTGTGCATATGACAGTGTGTGTGGGGCCGGGGGGGGGGGGGAGGGGGAGGGGAGAGGACGATGGACAAACCAGCTCCTGATGTCACACTAACCCTCCAAGAAATACCCACATCATCTCTCTGCATACCCCAGCACCGCGATGCATGAACCCCCACTGCTCTACATGCCGCCCCACCGCTCTTGATGCCCAAGAACCACTCTGCATGCCGCGTCACCGCTCAACATGCCCGACCATCTCTCTGCATCCTCACCCACCACTCCGCATACCTCCGCGGATGAAGATGGTGACGGCGCGTGAGTTGGCGCACCCCTCAATGTAGAGCATGCGGTCCTTGGTCGTTCCAAACGCCTTCTCCCGCACCACACCAGCCTGGATGGGGGGGGAGCAGGGACGGAGTGGAAGCATGGTAAGGGGTGGTGCGAGCGATGTGTGTTGGCAGCATGGGTTGGCGCACCCCTCAATGTACAGCATAGCATACGATCCCTGGTCGTGCCAAAAGCCTTCTCGCGCACCACTCCACACTGGCCCACATGGGGGGCAGCAGAGAGCAGGTGGAAAGTGGTGGAGCAACGGGCGGGTAAAAGCTTCCCGAGGGCGGGTAAAAGCTTCCCGAGGGCGACCCCACTGGCCCACATGGGGCGAATCCACTGACCCTATGAGTTAACCCCATCCAGCTACCATCTCAGACCCTGTGAGTCCCGAATCAACCTCCACACCCCACCAACCTTGCCCACCCTCCTCATTCCCCGCACCTTGCACCCCCCCCCCCCCCACCCCATCCTCCCCCCACCCCCCCCTCAAAACCTTGCCCACCCTCCGCCCACCTTCCACAACCCCCCTCACCTTGCCCAGCTTCTCGGGTGTGAGCTCTTGGAAACGAGGTACGATGCGGCCGCCTGCACCAAGGAAATGGCAGGGAAAGAGAGGGGGGGAAGGGGAGAGGGGGGTACAAAGGGAGAAGGGGAGAAGGGTGGAGAGGGGGGGAGACGGGTAAAGAGGGAGGGAGAGAAGGTCGAGCGGGGGAGAGGGGAGTAGAGAGGGTGAGCGAGGGAGAGGAGGAGTGCGAGTGGGGTGGGAGCGAGAGAGGGAGGGAATGAGGGGGATTGAGGCGAGGGCGTTCGGCCAAGAGCGATCATGGGACAAGTTGCCTTTTCTTTTGGGGAATTGAAGTAGATTCAGTGGTGCAGCGGATCTTGCAGCGGCGCAGACGTGCATGAGCAGCAGTGATGTATGCCACATGACGCAATGTATGCTCTGCTCACCAGTGAGAATCGTGACAAGATCCTCTAGCTCCACCCCTTCACCCAGAGGGCCAAGCCGCGGTGCAGGTGGTTGCGTGCGGCCCACAATAACAATCCACCGTGACTCACCAGTGGCAATGGCGATGAGCTCCAGCTCCACGCCTCCCACCCAGCGCACGGCAGGCAAGCCTCGGTGCATGAGCAGATGATTGGCCTCGTCGTCAAACCCCCACTGGCAGATCACCAGCGTGGCGCCCGCGTCCTGGGAGAAAGAAAGGGGGGGGTGGGTGAGAGAAGATGAAGAGTGATGTGAGAGCATGATAGCAGGTGGTTGGCCTCGTCATCGAAACCCCACTGGCAGATCACGAGTGTGGCGCCCGCGTCCTGTGAGGGTGGGGTTAGCAGAGAGATAGGGGAAAAGAGGAGGTGATGAGAGTAAGGGGAGGGTGTTGTGAGAAAAAGATGAGCAGAAGGTTGGCCTCGTCGTCAAACCCCCACTGGCAGATCACAAGCGTTGCACCCGCATCTCGTGAGTGGTGAAGCCTTGTACCCCGTCCCTAGCCCTCTCTCTCGCCCGCCACCCTCTCACCTTGCACTGCTGCACCATATCGTCAAAATATTTCCGCTCCGACTCCTGCAGCCGCTCGTACTTCTCCACGGTATCAATGTCCACCTTATGCTTCGTCTTGGGCCTCAAGAGAGCACGGTGCCCCTAAACCCCCAACCCCCCAATAAACCCCAAAACCGTGTCATTCTCACCTTGCACTGCTGCACCATATCATCAAAGTACTTCCGCTCAGACTCCTGCAGCCGCTCGTATTTCTCCACCGTGTCAATGTCCACCTTGTGCTTCGTCTTGGGCTTGGGCGGCTCAAACGGGCACGTCAGAATCGCAATCTTGGCGTCCTCAATCCGCTTGGGCATCTGAGGGTGGCTGAAGTCCTTGTCCACGATAATCCCTCGGACGAGCTCCGTCTCCTCCAGCCGCCCGCCCGTCTTGCCCTCCACTTTAATGAGCTCCAGATTCACGTCGCGGCGTTCCAAGTCCGCTACAGCCAACACTGCCTGTACAGCAATCTCAGCCATCTGGCGCTTGCAGCGCCCCACACTGCGTTGGGGGATGGGAAGTGAGGGGAGGGGGCAGAAAAAAAGGTGAGGGCGATTGCAATCTTAGCGCCCTCGATTCGCTTGGGCATCTGAGGGTGGCTCAAGTCCTTGTCCACGATAATCCCTCGCACCAACTCCGTCTCTTCCAGCCGCCCGCCAATCTTGGCCTCCACCTTGATCAATTCCGGATTCACATCCCGGCGTTCCAAGTTTGCTACGGCTACCACTGCCTGTACCGCGATCTCAGTGATCTGCCTCTTGCAGCGCCCAACGCTGGGATTTGGAGGTGGGAGGAGAGAAGGGTGAGTGCAGGAAAGTGAATGGGGGAAAGGGGGCGTTCCAAGACTGCCACTGCCAGCACTGCCTGCACTACAATCTCCACCAGCCTCTTGCAGCGCCCCACACTGGGTCGCAAAGGGGAAGGACAGGAGAGGCGCGAGAACATATAGCAGACAGCACAGCACGCACACACACCTGCACCTAGCAGCATCACACTCACATCTTGGTATTTTCAAGTGCCTCCCTGATCGCACGCCCTGTGACAAGCAGGCCTACACCTAGCATCACCCGCCTACACCAAGCAGCACCGTACTCACATCTTAGACGAGAGCGTGGTCATGCACGTCTCGACGAGCGGCTCGAAGTTATCCTTGGAGAATTCGAACGTCTCCGCGATCGCATCCAGATGCGCCGCCGCGATCTTGGACGCCATCTCGTACCCCTCCGCCACGCGGATGGGGTGGATGCCGCGGTCGAGCAGAGCTTCCGCCTGTGAGGGGTGGAACGAATAGGAAGAGGGATGGATTGAGGGGGTCGAGCGGGGCGCAGAAACAACGAAAGAGGATGCGTGGGTGCGATCTTGGACGCCATCTCGTAGCCCTCCGTCACGCGGATCGGTGGATCCCACAGTCGATCAGAGATTCCGCCTGGGGTCGAGGGGTTGGGTGAGCGGGCAAGGAGGAAACGGGCAGAGGAAAGTAGTGAGGATGCCACGCAAATCGGGTGGAACCCGCAATCGAGCAGCGCCCCGGCCTGGGGAGTGGAATGAGAGTGCGGAAAGGTCGATTGAGGAGGCAAAACGGGAGGAAGAAGCGAGCATGACTCGTGAGCGAAAACTCCGTAAAATCAAAGGGGGAGATCGAGTACAGCGCCGCAAGAAGACAAACAAGTCAGGCGTGCTCTTGACGGAAAGATTCACGTCGTCCTCCAATTCATCCGCGCGTAGACCTGCTCGCGCTACACGTCCGCACCTGCTTTAGCAGTGCGTCCTTGACGGGACGAGACTGACTTTATCCTCCTTGGGGCATACCTGCTTGCTCACACACACGTGTACGCCGGCACGCACCTGCTCGAGCAGCGCGCCGGCGGTGACGACGACGCCGGTGGTGCCGTCGCCGATCTCGAAGTCCTGGCTCTTGGACAGATCCACCATCGGCCGCCCCACGCGGCACCACCTCACATCAACGTCCATGACTCTCGCAACACACTCGCACCTGCTCTAGCAGCACACAAACGCACCTCTTCTAGCAGCGCGCCGGCAGTGACGACGACGCCGGTGGTGCCGTCGCCGATCTCGAAGTCCTGGCTCTTGGACAGATCCACCATCGGCCGCCCCACGCGGCACCACCTCACATCAACGTCCATGACTCTCGCAACACACTCGCACCTGCTCTAGCAGCACACAAATGCACCTGTTCTAGCAGCGCGCCGGCAGTGACGACGACGCCGGTGGTGCCGTCGCCGATCTCGAAGTCCTGGCTCTTGGACAGATCCACCATCAGCCGCCCCACGCGGTTCTCCACCTCCATCTGCTCCAGAATCGTCGCGCCGTCGTTCGCTGTGCAGGGGGGGTTAGAGGGAACAGGGGATTGGGTTTGGAAGGCATCAGCGCATTGGGGACGGATCGGGTTTCGACGCGCCTCCACCTCCATCTGCTCCAGAATAGTCATGCCGTCTGTCGTTAGATCATCTGACGGTATGCGGGAAGTGGATATTCGGAAGGCATCAGGGGACGGGAATACAGTCGCCGTTGAAAATGAATCGGGTTTCGATGTGTGTGAAAAGATCACCGTATGCACGTCGGCCCTCCGACTCAATATGCTCCATAATCGTCGCCGCGAAGTCGTTTGCTGGTGGAAAACGAGCGAAAATGCAGAGAATGGGAGGAGTGGGGGGACTGGGAGGAATCGGGAATTGATCGACAAGGTCCACCGTCGCAGTTCTCTATCTGTCGCAGAATCGCCGCCATAATGGCTGTGACTGGGAAAAGTGCAGCTGCTAAGAAGAACGAGGAGAATTCGCTGGAAACGAACCGCCGATTTGCTTCCAAAAGGCAGATCCGATTTGATTTGGCTTATGTTCGAAGATCTATTGCCATTGCCTGACAAATAATAAATCTGCGTACTTATAGTGACGTCGCCATCGCCGCTCTGAAGCATCTTATCCATTCCCTTGGGCCCGAGCGAGCTGCGGAGAATCTTCGCGACGGATTTGGCGGCGAGGATGTTACCCTTCTGCGCCGCGAGACCCTTCACACGCGACTTGGTCTCCTGCTCACGTATGATTATAAACGGCCGACCGAACTCATCGAAAGCTAACGCCATGGCGGCTCCTTCGACGTCAAACCGGACGAATCAAGAGCGAGATCTGTGAGAAACGACGACGGAATAAGGGAAGCCCGAATCCTGCCTGAACCAGAAAAACTGGATTTCCAGAAAACCGAATCAAAGCTCTGCACGACGAGGAATGATGGAAGGAGAAGGCCTTGGGAGCTCCCAGCGCAAGCCCGACCTGAATCTGAAATATGATTGAAAGACGAATTGCGTGAGGCGAGGTGGGGTAAGGCGAAGTGGGGTTTGGCGAGGTGAGAGGGTTCACAGATCTGAGGGAATTGGACTGACAATGGTCGAGGGATGCAATCTGTAACAAGAAGTGTACACCTGAGGTAATTAGGCTAACTGTTTCCCAAATGTTTAGACATTTTAAACCATGCTACCATAAATACGCACAAAACTGTGCCCAGGCAGGGCTTCAACATAGACAAAAACGGATACACGAAAGTGACTTGCCTACAGCTGTGCCTCCAGAGCCTACAGCCACGAATATGGTGAACAAATGCAACGTTTTACCTAAGCTTGCAGATTGAGCTGCCTTCAACTAGGCTTCACCTCCATTGTTTGCCCAACAGTTCTACGTTAACTATGCATTTGCACATGCATGTGTATGTGTGTGTCGAGTCTATGTATGTGATAGCTTGCATTCCCACGCAAAGTGAGATATGTGGTGGGTGCATTCTTCCTCCACCTGTGAGTAGAGCACCCATCCCCTCATTTCCATCGATCTTGCCCCATATTCCTCCAGCAAGGATCACTGCACATGTGCTGTGCGGGTATTCAATGGCACGCCTTTCCTGCACCGCGTTGCACCGCATCCAACCGCACTGTGTGCTGCACTGCTTCCATGGACATGTCCCCACCCATTTCGGGGTAACTTCCTCCACGGGTCACCCTCTCCAAGAAACAAATTCCTTGCTTCCTCTAGCCACAAGACGATGGGGCTTGTCGCTCCCCCGTCCTCCCTTCGCACCGCGTTCTCAGATCCAGCCGTTGATTCGCCTGCCGCGCATTTGGTTGACGTGACTGCGCCTCCTCCACTCGCCTGCACCGTCGCAGCCTCGCCGTCGCTAGGGTGAGATGTCTCATTCGTGAGACGCGCCGGCGCCGTGACTGTATGTCGCAGAGAGCGAGTATATGACAGCTGCTGCGACTGCCGCGAATGCTCGACCTGAGGCGGCCACGTCAGCATTTGTCCCGCCCACTCCCACAGAGACTGAAGCTCCCACGCGCTTCCCGCAGCGGCGGCGCGCGCAGCCGTCCACCCGCTCGGCGCGCTCTTGGCTCCGCTCCCGCCCGGCTTGCGATACTCCCCATGCGCCGCTGCCTCATATTCCCTGCTTCCTTCCCCAAGAAGCGAATCTTCGGCGCACTTGCCGCAGGGACGGCCTCGCGGCTCGAGAGAACGATTACCTTCAATGGAATGGAAAGGCGGAGAGCTGGACGAGTAGCCAGTCATAGCGAGTTCCATCATGCGACACGGCAAGTTGCGGATATCCAGCCACGTGGTGAAATCGACGATGTCGCTGCTGTTGCTACTACCTTGGTCCAGATTTGAGGGGCGTGACGAGACGAGTTGCGACGACGATGGGTGGGCGGAAGCAGCGGTTTGGGGAGGAAACGAACTGGGGAGGAAAAGGTGGCACGTGCGACATGGCGGGATGGATAACAGATTGCATACGTGGCAGCGCTGCAGCACGATGCGCTTGGGATTGCGCGCGGCTGCCGTGGCAGGCGATCGAACCTTCGTGAGGGCGAGGTCCGGCTGAGCTGGTAGGAGAGGGTGGGGATTCTTGGGGCGAGAGAGCGAGGCGGCGGAGGAATCGAGGTCGTCGGGTAGCTGGAGCGCTGGCGGGCGTAACCTTTCGAGCTTGCTCATGGTGATCATGCTGCTGCTTCTGCCGCCGCTTAAGGCTTCTGACGGTGTGCAATTCTCTTCTCTTAGTCGCCTATGACTCATGCTCAATCAAGCGTGTGAGGATTGGATCGTCCAGTTCAGATCACCTTGAAGATACCTGGCGGACCGCGTCGAAACAATGACTTCGCAAATATCAGTTCGAGCTTTCCAGTACAGCAGCAGCTGCGGGGTGGATTATAGGAGACAACAGCTCCTGCCCAGAATTTGAGCCCCAGCCAGGGGGAGCATATGTGGTAGAGTGGAGCTCGGTTGGGAGACCTGAAAGGTGCTGACCACCTTGCCCAGGGATGGATGGATGTGGTTGCACGTCGAGCTCATGCTTGCGTCACCATTGCCCTCCGATGAATCATCGGGAATTAGCATCGACGGCTGATAGGAGGAGAGGGAGGATCGAGGTGCAATGCAGATGTGACATGCATGGGAGGTGGGGAGGTGGGGGTGAGGGGGGAGATGGTTGGCCCTCGCTGTTTTTCAAATTCACCCGTTGCGGACCGACCATACACGGTAGCCCAATACAGTCGTAAGTGGCATCTAAACGTTATGGAGTTTCTGCAGTCTGGGCTGTAAACGGCCTTCTTTTACAGTGGAACGAACCCATAAATCACGGGAGCAATTTTTGGAACCGTTTCACCAGGGTCAAACCGCCCTATAATCCTTCTGCCGTTGTGCGGAAAGGATCCGTATGGCATGGTGGAGCCTGATCTGCTGGGAGGCCCAAACCTGCGGTCCGTCATGCGATTTGAAGGGAGCCGCGACTCGGTATGCCAAACGGTGTGCGCTGCGATCCAATGATTCCATCAACTGGGTGGCAAGTTCGGGTTTCACCAGTAGCCACCTTGAGTGTTTCGAGGTGGTCGTTCGAAGGAACCACTGAGGCCAAGCCATTTGGCAAACGACCTTGTCCACGAGTAACGAACTCCTCCAGCTGATCAGCACAAATCGGCACTCCTAAATCGTTTCAGTAGCGCCCTCGCACGCAACCGGGACAGGTATTTTTCGGCAGACATTCCCCCTGTTGATTCGCATCCTCCAAAGAGTGTATCGCAACAGAGCGAAGCGGGTGTGGGGTTTCTGCGGGCATATGTAGAGCCCTTGATTGAAACAGTTGCAACACTTCCACTCGAGTCAGGCACAGAGCGCCTGTGGGATAACTCATGAAAACCCATCAGGTTGTTATCTTAAACGTCAATACACTCCACTTCAGCCAGCTGCTCAATGCTGCGCTGCTAGCTGGGAGTTCTTTGGGTTCTGATAGGCTTTTCGTTATCTGCGTTGAAACGGTTCTCCGTTGAACGCAGCTGTTTCACCTAAGTGTGAGCAGCTGGAACGTTCCAGAGGAGCTCTCTCTCACAGGACCTCTCCTACATCACACCACCACTCCCCTCGTCCCGTACCATATTCGCAGCCACCAACCAGCCACGATGGCCAAGAAAATGCACCAGCCAAGCCTCACCCAAAACTTTGCTGCACTACAAGCATACTATGCGATTGAAATGGTACACATTTCATCTCAATTATGCATACATAACTCTAACACTTCATCCAGGGAGGTTATTTCCCTGTTTGTAGTGCCATACAATGCTCCACTGACCACTGAGGTTCCTTCCCCTGCTACATTCAGACTACAAATTCCTATCAATGGTGCTTTTGATATTCTAGGACACCTTATTGCCATCTCAACACCTAAGCACAAAGCTGCACAGCTGCACATGCGATTGCCGCGCTTTTATGCTAAGCCAGTTCTTGACGAACACCACTACCACCCCTACCCCTCCTGCCCAATAATGATCCGTCAGATAGCCAAGATCATCGCCCCCTCAGCTGCTATCTGCATCCTCCTCGTCGTTCATCTCCATTCCCTTTGCAGCGATATTGCTCCGCAGGCTACGACCCACTCTTGATTGTCACCATCACTCCACCCATTGCTCCATTGGTCGGCAGTCCCACATTGTCCCACTCCTTGTCACTCTCCGCATCCTCCCCATCGCCCACTTCTAGGCTCTTCATCCTCCTTTTTTTTAGAATTCTCAAAAAGCACTCTCTGCATCCTCCCCTCCTTGCTCACTTCCAGGCTCTATATCATCCAAGTGCAACCCAGCTCCCGAATACCGAGTTGCTCCACCGTTCATGCCTACGAGTACTAGGGAAGGTCGGTGGGCAACCCATCATCGTCCCACTCCTCATTGCTGTCTGCATCCTCCTCATCGCTGTCTGCATCCTCCTCATCGCTGTCCGCATCCTCCTCATCGCTGTCCGCATCCTCCTCATCGCTGTCTGCATCCTCCTCATCGCTGTCCGCATCGCATCCTCCTCATCGCTGTCTGCATCCTCCTCATCGCTGTCTGCATCCTCCTCATCGCTGTCCACATCCTCCTCATCGCTGTCTGCATCCTCCTCATCGCTGTCTGCATCCTCCTCATCGCTGTCTGCATCCTCCTCATCGCTGTCTGCATCCTCCTCATCGCTGTCTGCATCCTCCTCATCGCTGTCTGCATCCTCCTCATCGCTGTCTGCATCCTCCTCATCGCTCACTTCCAGGTCCTTCACAAAGCTCTTAAGCCGCCCTGGCTGCTATCTACTCCTGTCCGGATCACCGCCACCACTCCAGCCTAGGAATACTTCGGAAGATCAGTCGGTAACCCGGCGTCATCCCACTCCTCGTCACTGTCTGCATCCTCCTCATCACTCACTTCTAAGTCCTTCACAAAGCTCTTGGAACCGCGGCTGCGGTCCACCTTCTTCAGCTTCTCCTCTGGTAGCCTCTCCAGGTCACACGGTGCAAACCCCCGGTGCACGAACCTGCAGGCACGGGGGCGAATCATGAGAGGCATGGAGAATACCGCGAAGAGATGAGTGGACATGGGCTGGTGAAGAGATGAGTGGACATGGGCTGGTGAAGAGATGAGTGGACATGGGCTGGTTAGGCGGCTCACAGCAGCACACAGAACCACGGAAGGAGGAGAAAACTGGCAGAGGAGACCGTGGGTGTGTGGAAGAGAGGGCATATTGATTGGCCAGCACAGCTCTCACCATTGCCGCTGATAAGCCTTCCTTTGGAACGTCCCAACACTCATCACCTCTCGGAAGGCAAAAGGTGAAGCCAGCCCGAGCTGCATCTTGTTCCTCAGTGTCCCATCCACTCACCAGTCGGCCGTGCGTGTGGTCACGAGGAACAGCTTCGCCATGCCCATGCCCGCCACCACCTCTCCGTCAAACACCCACACACTCTCACACCACCCCCTGCCAGCATCCCCCTCAGCACTCACCAGTCACCACCCCTGCCAGCATCCCCCTCAGCACTCCCGCTGGGAAGAAGCACGCCAGCATCCCGCCATGCACACCTTCACCTCTTCTGCAAGCACATCACACCCCTGCTCTTCCAACCCCCCTTCCCCCCCACCCACTCACCAGTCAGCAGTGCGCGTGGTCATGAGAAACAGCTTCTCCATGCCCATGTCCACTGCGCGCTTCTCCAAGTATGCTGCCAGAGGGGGAAGGGGAGGGGGAAGAGAGAGCAGGGGAAGCGGGGTGGAAAGGGTTTGAATAATGTGAACATACAACTGGTAGACAGAGGGGCAGACACACAGAAAGTGTTGAAATTTAGAAGCTCAGGGTTTTTACATGTCTTGACCATCTCTATAGCTTAGCCTTGCCAGTTCATACCCTGTCAGTGCTCACACTTCATACCCACCACCCCCTGCAGCGCTCCCATACTCACCAGTCACCACATCACTCCCCCTCGTCACATCATACCCCACCCCACCCCACAGCACAGCACAGCACAGCACAGCACAGCACAGCACAGCACAGCACAGCACAGCACAGCACAGACCACAGCACAGACCACAGCACAGACCACAGCACAGACCACAGCACAGACCACAGCACAGACCACAGCACAGTCCACAGCACAGACCACAGCACAGACCACAGCACAGACCACAGCACAGACCACAGCACAGACCACAGCACAGACCACAGCACAGACCACAGCACAGCCCACAGCACAGACCACAGCACAGCACAGCACAGACCACAGCACAGACCACAGCACAGCACTCACCCAACAGGTTGTCCCCGCGCCCATTCCCTCGCGATGCAGGCGAGACGGCAAAGGCAGCGACTTCAGCCATGCGGGCAGAGGGGAAGGGGAAGAGCGCCGCACAGGCGATGGTATGGCCGTCCCTCTCCACCACCGTGAAGAACGGCAGCTCCCTGCGCAGCTGGTAGGGCAAGGGGGGGTGGATGGAGAATGGAGGAAGTGGAGTATGAGTGTGTGGAGTAAGATCAGCGCATCATCAGCATGAGTGCACATGCGATGGTATGGCCGTCCCTCTCCACCACCTAAAGAATGGGAGCTCCCTGCGCAGAGGGAGGACGAGTGGAGGGGAGGAAGACGAGTGCAAGGACGAGGAGGAGGAGGATTCGTCAGAGTACACACGGTATGCTGCGGCAGTCGCTCTCCCTCGATATCCACTCACAAAGGCACACACAATCACACTGTTCCCCCTAACCTGCGCACACCGAGTCAAACCGAGTCAAGGCCTGCTCACCTGCTCGTCCCCTCTAGGAAGCAGCACCCCAGCGGCCTCCAGAGGCTCCAGCAGCGCTCTGATGCCCGGCATGTCCGACACCTGCTGCCGAGGCCTGGAGGGCGCTCACAGCCACTCTAACACCCACACTCACACCCACACACACCCACACACACCGAGTCAAACCGAGTCAAATTTCTGCTCACCTGCTCGTCCCCTCGGGGAAGCAGCACCCCAGCGGCCTCGAGGGGTTCCAGCAGTGCTCTGATGCCCGGCATGTCCGACACCTGCGCAGCCCGCGTGCCCTCGTATAGATCACTGTTGTAAAGGGGGGGGGGGGGAGGGGGGAGGAACGGGGAGGGGACGGAGTCAGGAGCGGGAGGTAGGAGATCATAAGTAGGTGATGTGAGTCTACAGGTGCATGCCATTGTACAGATTGCTGTGTCTGGAAAGGGGTGGATGGGAGGGGGAGGGGGAGGGGGAGGGGGAGGGGGACAAGCGGGAATGGATGGAGGAGGAAGACCAGAATCAGTCTATACGTTTGGAGTGTTATATAATGTGCGTTGCCTTGACTCATGTGCTGAACCGCGTTTCAAGCCCATGCAAAAACCGTACTGCACCCCTGAACACCATGGTGCCGACGCCGTCCCGAGTGTAGAGAGCTCCATGCACGACCACAGCACAGGGCACGTGGGCCAATCCCACCTGCCAATCCCACCTGCCAATCCCACCTGCCAATCCCACCTGCCAATCCCTCCCCTCACCTCGACTACCCCTCGCTCCCCCCTCACCTGGACACCATGGTGCCCACGCCGTCCCGTGTGTACAGCTCCAGCAGCAGCAAGGGGCACGTGTGGCACCGCATGCGCTGCCTTGATGCCCCCTTGCCCCCGCCCCCACCCCCTCACTTGGGCACCATGCCTGCCACCCCCCCACCCCCTCACCTGGAGACCATGGTGCCGACGCCGTCCCGTGTGTACAGCTCCAGCAGCAGCGTGCCCTCCACTCCACTGTCTAGTAGATGCACCCGCCGCACCCCGCCCTGTTAGCAAGGGAGTACAGAGGGGTGAAGAGGGGTGACGAGGGGTGAAGAGCGTCAGAGGCACACAGCAGCAGTGTGCCCTCCACTCCACTGTCCAGTAGATGCACCCGCCGCACCCCGCCCTGCGATCAGAAAGGGATGGAGAGAGATGGAGAGGGGTTAAGAGAACTTATGAGGGGCACACAGCAGCAGCATCCCCACTCACCTGTCACCCATCATTCACCCAGCACATCCCCTCACTCACCCGGCAGGCATACACAGCAGCAGTGAGCTCTGACAGGAATCCGTATCGATGCACCGACCGCTCCTCTCCGCCCACCGCAAACCCCCGCCTCTCCTCCGCCCTCCCCGCCGCGCCACCCCCCCCATTCCCCCCCCAACCCCGCGCAGCACTCTCCCCAAACCCCGCCTCCGCCAAACCGCCATTCCCCCAGCTCTCCCGCGCGCCCACTCCCTCCGCGCCCGCGGCATTGCCCCTGCCGTTGCCCCTCTCGCTCCACACGTCCCTCCCCTCTCGCGCTCCACTGAACGTGGGGAGGGGCGGGCCAGGCTTCTCAAAGCTCATGCTATACAGAGCCCGCTGCGCCTTCCATCTCTCCATACTTGCTGCGACCTCCTCCTCCTCTTCCTCCTCCTCCTCTCCTTCCCCTCCCCCCCCTCCCCTCCCCCCCTCCCCCCACTCCTCCCCCCGCTTCTTCTTCCCCCGCTTCCCCTTCTTCCGCCTCCCCTCCCCCGCGCCCTCCCCCTCCGCGCCCCCCGCGCCCTGCGCGCCGACGAGCCCGAGGCTCCTAATATACTCCTCTCCGGCGACGGCTTTAACGTACTCCGCGGCAGCATAGCTCTGCGTGGCGCGGTTCCTTATAATCACATCCGCCTGCTGCAGCGTCATCCAGCGGATCAGCCGCCCGCGGTTGTCCGCCACTGCGCCGTCCAGCAGGCAGATCAGCTTGTCCGCTCCTAGACCTATGGCGCATGCCGTGGCGACCTCGTACGTGCTGCGAGGGGGAAAGAGGGGAGGGGCAACGAGGGGATGGGAGGAAGAGGGGAGGGGCACGGAGAATGAGCTTGTCCGCTCCTAAGCCGCTGGCGCACGCTGTTGCTACTTCATACGTGCTGGGAGGGGGAAAAGACGGGAGGGGAGGAAGCGGGGGGCGGAGGAAGGGGGAGGGGAAGAGGATAAGCCTGCTGCAGCGTCAGCCACCGAATGAGCCGCCTGCGGTTGTCCGCCACTGCCCCGTCCAGAAGACAAATCAGCTTGTCCGCTCCTAGGTCTATGGCATATGCTGTAGCGACCTCATATGTGCTGGGAAGGGGAAATGGGGGGATGGGGAAAAAGGAGGATAAGCTTGCTGCAGCGTGAGCCACTGAATCAGCCGCCCGCGGTTGTGCACGACTGCCCAGCAGGCAGATCAGCTTGAGCTTGGCAGATCAGCCGAGTGAGGACGCGGTGAAAGTGGAAAATCGATCGCCTAATGATCGTTTTTTAGCGCGGTTATAAAAGGTTGTGTACATTTTGTTTCCAGAACGCGGGTTTCAGTGCAGTGACCGAATCGATCTACCCCCGATCGAGCACTTTCACCGCGTCCTGAGGAGCAGCAGAGCAGCACGGCACTCACTTGCTGTTGCTCAGAAGAACGAAGAAGCTGCTGAGGAGAAACGCTCTGTGCCACTAACGAATGGGTAGCAGCAGAGCAGCACGGCACTCACTTGCAGTTGAGCACCTCGCCCGCGGGGGTGAATCCCAGGTTGCTCAGCAGCACGACGCAGCTGCTGTCGAGGCGGCTCCTGATGCGCGCCACGTCCACGCGCTTCACCTCGCCCGTCGCCCCGTAATCCACGCCGCCCACCACGCCCCGCCGCTGCTCACCACCGCACATAACCGCACGGAACCGCACAGAACACAGAGAACGCGGTTTTTGGCGACAGAAAGTGAGGAGGGGTGATGCAATGGCGCAGAAAAGCGTGTCAGGTTACAGTGACCTTGCCATTCCATCCAACCGCACGCAACCGCGCCCCACCTTGGCGTGCACGAAGTTGCCGCTGGCGACGCTGATGCCCACTTCGTGCCACTTCTCGCTCTCGCCGTGCCTTCGCAGCACCGGGATCACCGGGCCGCGCGACAGCTTCGCCTCGATGTCCACGCGCGTGCGCCCCGACGCCTCCATCGCCGCCGCCAGCGCCTCCGTGTCCGTCACGCGATACGCGCCGTGAAACACGGACGCGACGCCGCGCTCCTCCAGGAGATCGTTGATCTGCACGTGGCTCCCCGGCACGAGCACGATGCGCACTCCCAAGCCGTGCAGCAACGCTACATCCTGCAAGGGGGGGAACCGAAGGGGGGGTAAGGGGGGTGGAGGGGGGATGGTGGGGCGGAGGTGAAGAGGAGACGGAGCAGGGAGAGCTGGGTTGATTGTCGATTCACATTCGAGGGACCTAGGGTCGAGCCTGCATGATCAAACCAGGTCGTGTTATTCACATTCGTTCTTACAACGGGAAGCAAGACAGCAACCCCTGTTTGTTCACATTCTGGCGATCCGAGGTCGAAACTGCAAGATCGGGTCAGGCCATTCGATTAACATTCGTTTCTATAACGGGGAGCATGAAAACTCCCTGATTGTTCACATTCGAGGGATCCGGGATCGAACCTGCAGGATGGAGTCGAAGATCTGACGGTTCGCGACGACGTCCCCGGGAACGACGATAACGAACGTGCTACCGCGATGGCCCTGAATGTACGGCCACGCCTCGCGGAACCACCGCACGAACTGCGCCTCCTTCAGCGCGTCGCGCAGATCCTCCGCGCGCGTCGCGTCCTCGTCCGACGACGCGTCGCCTTCCGTCCGGTTACCGCCTTGGTAGCCCTGAACTGCGACTCGGATGTTCGTCTGGCGGCGAGAAGCCATCTTGGTCGTCGATCCCGTCTTCTTCGACGGTTGCTGATGCTCCTGATGCTTCGAATTCGCCTTCGCGGTGATTGTGAGGTGCTGCGAGGAGACGACAGCGCCAACTGCGGTGGGAACGGACACGTGTAATCTTCCCGGTTGCGGGACGTTGGCCAATGAGAGGCCAAAGAATGGCGTATGGAGGGTGGCTTGATGATCTCGAGACGACGAAAGCGCTGGGTCGTGAATTGATGTGATCGCCGGCGATATACATTGTCGCAGAGATGCCATGATCGCAATGGAAGAGACGACAATGGCTGAACAGCGCCAAGTGAAAACTGACGTTGCGACTCGCAGTGGAATCAATATACGCAAGAGAGCTAATACAAAATGATGCAGATGGAATTTAATAGACGTGATGTTGGAATGATCAGCGAGGAAGGGACGACAGCGAAGTTTGGAGCTTGAAGGACAACCGAAGCAGCGGCTCTACCAATAGAGATGAAGACTGAATGGAATGAATTCATGAAGGTTGGAAACTCGCAATAGAAGCACGATAGCAGAGAGACGCGAAATACAAGATGCAGAGCAGCCATGGCTGGCAGTGAAGGGGCTTGGTTGGCAAGCAGTGCGCGCTTGAAGCAGAAGCGAGCGGAAATGAGGTGCGCGCGACAGTCGGTTCAGGTGGGGAAAGTCAGGGCCAGCGGGATGCGGATGGCGGGAGACTGGCGCGGGTCTGCGCGGACGCTGGTTAGGAAGAAATCTGCGACTCCGCCAAACGGAAGCTGACTGGCCCGGGGCCCAGGGTGTGTGGGTTTGCGCGCTAGTTTGGGCTTCACCGTACCTATATCTATCCGCTTCGGGGAGGAAGACGTGTCAGAAGCGATCCCGCATTCGCCCGTGTTTTACTGTAGTCCGGGCGTATGAACCTTTGAGGCCGAGGGACCTGTGGTTTGCATAAAACGGGATGTCTGGAACGAGGTTCGGACCCGGCGCAGCCTCCTCATCCCCCAGCTTCGAGCCACGCCAAACTTCGAGCCAAGCCCAGTCATTCGTCCCATACTGCATTGCTGCCTCCGCTAAACCCAAACTTGCCTCCGTGGTTTTACGACAAATCATCGTGCTCTCATTTCGGCGGCGACCACGCGCAGCACACGATAAAATTGCCACCTGGCAACTCAGCATACGCCATCGGCTTTCGGACACGGCGATATGAGGCCAACCTGCGTCAGACAAATTCCCAGCCGAAAATTGGAGCGCAGCAGGCATTTCTCTCCTAACCACGTGGTCAGACACATGGGTCAACTAAGTCCTAAACCACCAATCCGTCTCGCCAATCTCCAGAGATTGAGGATGCTGAAATCATCCCCGGTACAGAACTAGTGTGAGATTGTCATGCCTCGAGACAATTGGGGGATCAGCGGTGTTCACAACGCTACCGTAAGTTTCCCCATTCAACGACCATCTGCATTTACTCATTTGACTGATGAGCTCAACATTCAGTCCACTGTATGCAAACTACTGAAGAGCGGTGTTGAGTAGCCGAACAGAAATGATTCAAAATAGATGCACACCAGGAAAGCACATAATGGAGCTCACTAAAAGGCTGCCATGTGAGAATGACCTCAGCATGAGGCGGCAAATTACAAATCTGCTTCATCTCCACCAGACTCTGTACATCGGCGTCTGCACTTGTGTGCATCTCCACACCACTGCTACCTACGAGTCCACCATTGTGCTCTGTATAACCTTCTGAGCTGAGCAAAAATGCATGTGAGAACCACACTAATCTGAAGGCAGCCCAGTATCGGTGACCTATGCTTATTGTCCTCTGTACAAGCACGTCTCGTCGTCCGCGCTTCACCAGCTTCCTTTTCGGCACTGTGACAGCGTCCTGCTCACAAGGCTTGCGCCCATGCTGTGAGCACACTCTTCCCACACAGTGCTCCACTTCCTCAGCATCGTCAGGGAGCATCAGCAGCAGGATTATCACCACAGCTGGTCCCCGGACAGAACTGCTCTTGCAGCGCAGCGATTTCCTTCACGACCTCGTCAAAGTCAGGCCGCGCCTCAGGGCACTTATCCCAGCACTGCTCAATCAGCCGCCGCAGCCCCACTGGGCAGTCCGCCGGGATCGTCGGGCGCAACCCGTTAAGCGCCACCGCCACCGCGGCTTGTAACGGAGTGTAATCCTCAAACGGCAGTTGACACGCGACGAGTTCCCAGAGCACGACTCCGAAGCTGTACACGTCGCTCTTGAGCGTCACGTGCCACGGGCTCGTGCCGAACGCTTCGGGCGCCATCCAACGGTAAGTTCCGACCTCCTTGGTCATGTCGCCGCGCTCCCCCTTCAGCCGCGCCACGCCGAAATCGCCGACGACGGCGCGGCCGGCGGAATCGAGGAGGACGTTGGCGGATTTCAGGTCGCGGTGAATCACGCCGCGCCCGTGGAGAAACGACATCCCCTCTGCGACATCGTGCGCGATTCGCAGGGCGTCGCCGAGCGGGAGTCGCTCGCCGTGGCGACGTCGCACAAGGTCGCTGAGCGTGCCGCCCTCCATGAGTCGCGTGACGATGCACATGCGACGGCGCGTGTCGAGGCACACGCCGACGAACTCGAGCAGTCGCGGGCACTCGTCGCACGACATGAGCGTCTGCACTTCCTGCCGGAATTCAGTCGCGCTGGCGTGGCGATCGATAGTATCACCCTTCATTACCTTCACGGCCACCGCCTTCCCCTCGTAGCTGCCGCGGCGCACCTCGCCCGACGCGCCGACGGCGATAAGCGCGCCGATTTCGAGCTTGAGAGGGTTGAGGAGGAACTCGCTGAATTGGTTCGACGCGCTGCGGCTGTTGAAGAGTAACACCTGCAGGAGGTCGTTCGCGTCGCCTGCGATGCTCTTCGACGACGGGACTCGAGTAGTGAAACGTGGACTAACAGGCGGCTTCCGCGCCGAGCTGTCAGAAAAGAGGGTTGGTCTATCGAGCGCTGACGTGGACAGTTCTGACTGGCAGTTAGGGATTGTGGTCGGAATGGACGTGGCGGAGCGGGGTCGCGAGGTCTGCTTGCCGGCGACCGTAAATATCTCCTCTATTTGCCGCTTCGATATCTGCGATATAGCCGCTCGGACGGTGAAAAAACCCAATGTGTACCCGTGGACTGTTCGGAACACGGAGCAGTCTAAAACGCGGACGCCGGTGCGCTGGAAGGCCGCGGTCAAGCTCCGCTTGCAGACGCGCGCGCTGCACGCGAAACTGATGTTCATAATTCCCGTGCACGAAATGTCGTCCACTGACAATAACGAAAACCCGCCAATCGACGAGTCGTCCGTTTCGCTTTCGTCACCGGTCATCGTCGAGTCGCCGCTGTCGGTCGCGCGCATGTCGAGCCGCAGTGCAGGCACGCCCTCTTTAAGCGCCGACGCCTCCTTAAGCAGGTCCATGTGCTGCAGCACGTCGGACCGCGAATAGTTCTTGGCAACATAGCTGCAGGGAGGGACAGGGGGGTATAGAAACGGAGGGCGAAGACATGGGTCAGATAAGAGACTATGAGTCGACCAGACGAGGTACGGACTGAAGCTGTGTTGGCTTGAAGTGGCTCTCCCACTCTCTCGCTTCATCACTCTAGGCTCGCACGAAAATTGAAATTAGGGGGAGCAAACTCAGCATAACCATCGACATCTATTCTCCCCTCCCGTTCTCGCAGCGCTCGCAACGATTGCATTGAAGAAGACTGCTACTCACTCAGGAGACATGCAGCTCATGTGGTGGCGCACCGCCGCGTCTTCCATCGCGCTCAACGAGCCATTTCCGCTCGCGAGGTCCGCCGCGGCATCTGAATGGTCGGGCCGCGAATTAAGCGGTAGTCGGGAGCCTTTGCGACTGAAAAAACGGGAAATGCTGAATGGGAAATGGCTTCCGTAGGATCTAGGGAGCGATGCGGTGTGCGCAGGCTGAACGTCTGTGCAAGCAATGTCATTCGCTTCCGACTGTAACGAGTGTGCGACGTCGCACATGGCGTCGTCAATGGAGCCTCGCAACCAGGCACGGACATTTGCGTCGTTGACGGGAGTACGAGCGTGCCTCACGGGAAACCCCATTAGTGCCACTTCTAGATTTACAAGAACGGGAAATTGCTGCTCGAACCTAAATCAAAATTTCGCTACTAGGGTGAAGATACAAGGAGATGTGGCAAAGGGAAAGAATGCCGGGAAGTAGAATCGTTTACAAGAACGATTGTGTGCGTCCACGATGAAACGGTTCACGTGGGCGTCGGAGCGTGGCCGAGTAATGAACGGGTTTGTAGGGAAATTGCAGCTCAGTACAGCTAAGTATGCTGGCGGTTGCGTGCGGCGACCAGACGGAATCAGGGTGATGGCTGCTTGTGGGTGCATTTTTCAACTTCTGTCCAAATGCACCTCCCATCCCACTCCCCCTCACTCCCAAAACCCATACCCTACGAGGCTGTGTGGTGGGAGGAAAGAGTGCGCTCGGGATGGGGACTGAGGCGCTGCTGCTGTGCTGCTGCTGTGCTGCTAGGGTGCGGGCAGTGCAGCAATGGGGGAAATCAGGAAGCGTCGGGAGAATCGGGAAGGACACAACACAAGCCACGCAATGTAGGGTGAGGCGACACGAGGGGAGTGAAACGGGGAGACCAGGGACTAGTTGCCGTAGTCGAGAGTTTACGCCAGAGGTAATTGCAGGCTGATGCGGTTGCTGGGGGTTTGGGCGGTTGTGGTTAGTTGGGGAGCGGCAGGCATGGGGCTCAGCGGGAGGAAGGTTTGCTGCGCTGACTGGGTTCGGCGCGCTCGACTGCGCGGATCAAGTGCGCGGGAGTCCGGGATTGCGTCAGCTTTCCCCCGCTGCGCTGGCGCTTCAGTTTCACTTCGTTGAATCTCCGCGTCAGCGGTCCCGATTCAATGCCATGCCATTGCCACCACAAACGGCCAGCCATGACACCACTCTGCAGGCAGCTGGGCAGAAGGCATATGCTGCAGCAGGATTTCCCCGTGAGGAGGCGCACATTTGCCACATCATACAGTTTCGTGTATTACTCAGCCAATCACAGACGATCCCGCCAAGGACGAGAAATTATGGCTCACAAACGTTGAGCGGGTTTGTTCCAAGGAGCAAGCGGAATATCTCTGCTGGCAGTGCTGCGCGTGGTCTTGTACACCCTTATTCTCAGTCTTCTCACCGGCGGAAGCAGTGGCTACAGTGTTTGGACGTAGCGGGCTGGAGAGATAACTCGGTTGCGGGCCAAGTCGCACGAGGCGACGAAACCAGACTTG